GTTTTTTGTTAGCCAGAGTGAGTTCCTTGCTGCTTATTCTTATTATTCTGGCAATCCATCTGATCTTCAGTATCCAGTGAGTGTAGACGGCAGCTGTTGATGATGTATGTTTGTGGTTTGTTGGAAATGCTTTTCGTAATGCGCCAAGTCTCCGAACCATCATATAGAAGCACTGACTTGACTGACATTAGTGTTGAAAACCTGGATCTTGTTCTTTATGTTGAGTGGAGTTCATTGTAGTAGATCTCTACACTGATTTCAGATTGATGAAGGCCTGTCTTGCTGTCTTTCCGATCCTGGTTGCTTTGACGTTATCATCTGTGACGCCGTCTGTAGTTGAGATGATACTGCCTAGGTGTAGGTGAGAGATACTACTTCCTTTAGGTTTCTCCCGTTGATGGTGATTGGTGCTTGTTGTAGTTGTTGTTGTTGGTGGTGGTGGTTGTTGGTTGGTGGTTGGGTATCTTCATCACCTGTTTTCTCTACGTTCACCTAAAGTCCCATCTTCCTTCGTTGCCTCGCCTCTTTTGCTAACTAGTTGGTTTTCGCCTGTAGATGTTTGAGCTTGTGCGACAAGACATTAGAGATGAATCATCATCGGCGAAATCCAAATCTTCTAGGGTCTCTTCATCGGTCCAGCCAGAGTATGCCCATCTTCCCGCTCGTCACGGTTCGCTGCATGATCCGGTCGACCACAATCAAGAAGATCATCGGTGGTAGTAGGCGGTAGCCTTGTGTTACTCCTGTCTTCACTTGAAAGGCATCACTGAGCTTTTCATTGTGAATCACTTGGCATGTAGCATCATGTAGCATATAGATGCTGTTGAATGAGGTTGATGAAGGTTTGTGGCACTAAAAGTGTAGTGTTGAAGCAAGCAGCTGGCAAATTCCTTCTTTGTCGACGCTATCGAAGGCTTTTTGAAAGTGGATGAAGTTGAAGTACAGGTAAAGTTGACTTGCATTCTATGTTGTGTTCGATGATGATGCGTAGCGTTACAGTTTGATCCGCATATGATTTGTACTTCCTGTATACAGCCTGTTGGTGTCCTGATTTTGAATGCAGCACATTCTTTAGTCTCTCCAGGATGATACGACTTAGTGTTTTGCTTGGTTGGACAGGATCATGATTCCGCGCCAGTTCTTGCGAAGATCAAGATCTCCCTTCTCTGGGAGTTTGACAAGATAACCCTCCTTCCAGTCAGTTGGCATTTACCTTTCCTTCCTGCCTTCTAAGCCTTTTGCTATAGTGATGTGAGCATTTCCGCTGTTGTCTCTGCGTCTGTTCTCAGTGCTTCTGGCGGGATTCCATCTGATTCTGCTGCTTTCCCGCATTTCAGTAGCTTCATGGTGTTCAGGACTTTGACTTTGTTTGGAGGGCTTGTGTTCACTTGTAGTTCTGTGGCCGGGCTGCAGGTTGTATTTCTGGACGAAGTGCAGGTGGTGATGGTGGTCGATTCAACAGCTTTTTGATGTGGTCAGCCCATCATTTCGTTTGTTTCTCTTTGGTAATTTGACTTCCTTCATCATCTTTTATTGGTTTCATGTGTGTTGATCTCTCCTCTCCCAGGTAGTAACCCGGTTATTTAAAATGTTGTCAGGTCTCTCCTACATGCAGCCTGTTCTGCTTCACTTGCCAATGTGTCGTGTCTTGTCTTTTGTCTTTGCGCGCACTCTTCACTTCTTTGTCCAGTGTTTCATTCATTGTACTCACTTCCTCCTCTCTTTGAGCATCCTTGCCCTGGTTCATCTTCTGCTTCACCGTCCTCCTCTCCTCTATCGGCTTCCATGAATCCTTTGAGATCCATTCCTTATCTTCTTTCTTCTCCCTTCCTTGTAAGGTTATGCAGGTTTCTTTCCACATCTCTTTCAAAGACTTCCAGTGTTCATCCACACAGGTTTCTTGAGGGATGTTGCTCGATATCTCCCATTTCGTCTTGATGGCTGATGGGAAGATTTTCTTTTTAGTTTCGTCCTTCAGTTCAGTTTCTGTTTTAGGTGTTGGTCTATCACTGTGGTCTATCACCAACTTCTTTGAAGGTTTTGAACTTGATATGGAAGGCAGGTTCCCTGCTCTAGATAGTGGTGTGAATCTACATGTGCTCTCCTTCTTGATCTTGCATCCGGTAGTCTGCGTCTCCACTTTCTTGAGATTGCGATGAAGTCGATCTAATTTTTAGTGTGTCCTGGTGTCTGGTGAAATCCATGTGGCTTAGTGGATATCCTTGTGCTTGAACACAGTGCCTCCAATCACCAAATAGTTGAATGCGCAGAGTTCTGCAAACAGTTCTCCATTCTCATTCATCACCTCACCGAGCGCTTCTCGACCCATAGTCAGTTATCTTCCTGTATTGTCCGCTCCCGGTTTGGCATTCATGTCGCCCATTAGAATTTTGACGTTGCCAACTGAGGTACTGATTGCAGCTGTCTGTAGAATTCCTCCTCCTTCTCTTGATCTGCATTATTTGTAGGTGCGTAGCGTAGCATTGTAGGATTGTGACTTTTCTTCCTTTTGATTTGAATTTTGCTGTCATGATCCTGATAATGGAGGAGATTGGTTTCCACTGCATTAGAGAGAGCCCTTGATGTTCTTGGGGAAATCATGATAGCCAGTCCAAAACTCAGTGTGCTCGTGGTTGTGGTCTGGGTGACAATATCGCAGTAGATTATTGATTCTGCAGTTGACATTTTGGAGAGTCCACTTCCATTCCATCTGCTTTCGCAGATTCCCAGCACTTTAGTACCATACCTTCTCATCTGCTTTGCAATCTGGGCAGCGTTGCTGGATTCACACATGGTGCGGACATTCCATGTCCCCATGTTTACTTTCGCTTTCATCTAAAGAATGGAAGACACATCGGCAAATTGGCTTCTCGAAGGCTTTCACCAACCGGCGTCCTTTCACCTCTCCGATTCCAGCGAGGAATAATTTTGTTTTTATTTTTTATATTTTGTTTGTGGTGTGAAGTTTGTTTAGCGGTTGGATTTGTTTTCCTGGTTAGGGTTGCTAGCTCTATGCCCAACCTTCCCTCTTTACGGGGGCTTAGGGACTGGCTAGTAACTAGTGAACCAGTTAACTAGGCGAGGTTAGTCGTAACACAACTCTACTTCAGTTTTGAGGTTTGTAGGGATTTGGATAATTTCTGTGTGGTATTCATCACAATCTGACATCATTTGGCAAACCACTGAGCACTGAACAGCCATGTCGTTCTAGTGTGGGACTACTCAACAGTGTGTACCCTCGACCCAACTAGACATCGAACCGGGGATCTTCAAATCACACAGCGAACACATTATCATATAGCCAGTGGGTTTTGATCATGGATATCTTTGTAGGATTACTCGCTTGTTTTGGCGGAATCACCATGCTAGCAATACTGAAGTCATGCGAAGGTTACTAGACGGGGTTGTACGTTGATTCTGTTTTTCTATCTGGGTCGGAATTCAATGGTCCACAATTTCCTACTTCTGTCAATTTGGAATATAACTTGACCATCATTCAATGCCATCGCTGGGTATTTTTCCTTAAACTCTATTTGGTTGACCCCACAGGTCACGATTTCTCATCGGAACTTCGTGACATTGCGTCTCAAAGGACATCACTAATGAGCACTAGACAGTATTTCAGTTTTGCTTTCATAGGTTGTGAATCTCCGTCGTTAATTGGACCGAATTGATCGGACACGGTTGACATACGGGTTTCTTTGAGGATACCTCGATTTTGCTGATATTTTGAATTTTGATATTAATGATGGGTATTGGTTAGGAGTGGGATCCGGGACACTCTTACTATGAAAATACTGACAATATAGAGCCATCTGCACAGGAGCCCATATGCCAATATTCTTCGATCAATTCGGTCCAATCAACGATAGAGATTCACAAGTTATAAAATGAAAACTATACTATGCCCGTCGCACAAGGAGTGGCTTTCATGACTCACTGACCTAGTAGATAACTCTCTGACGTTTGAAGCATTTGGTCCTGTGTTCAAATCCCAGTGGGAACAAAAACACTCACTAGAAGGTAGGTACATCCAGCTGATGAGCCCTAAATAGTACGAAGCGAGCGTCGTGGATTCCACTAGTAGCAACTACCTATCGTTAATAGTATTTCAGTTCGTCTAGCTTTTCAGTTTGTAAATTAAATGGGCTTATGCATCGTGACCTGTTGGTGTAAGCATCCAACTTTCAACCACTAAAATACAAGTTTGAACTCCACTCTACATATTAGATGGGATATCATGAATCCTCACAAAGTAGGTATGGTTCATTACCTAGTGCATGGAATTAACTGCACGCAGTTTCTCAGTTGTATGCCTTTTTATGTCTTAGAGAGCGTAAACTTTGCGATAAAGACTATCATGACTGTCATAGAGCATTGGGTCCTACTTTTAGGATTTTTTTGTGTGAATATGGTTCATCACTGCTTGAATGCAATAGACATTTTGACATTGAAAAATCACTTTTCAAACATTTACTATATTGCCTTCATAACATAAAAGACTGATACTTGTTTATCATCACAAATGAAGAATGTATAGCGTCTTTACGAGCAATCAAATTTTACGGAATACGTGTCAGCTTAATGTTTATCGCCAGTGTAATTAAATAAACATACTGTTAGGGATGCCTAATCCCTAAGAAAAACTAACTTGTAACATGTTTATATTATCATTGTAAAATGCAAACCTTATTTTCGCGCCCTTTTTGCGCTATGCTATATTACTTATTTTTACCGCAGTTTAGGATACTAAACGCTGATTGGTCCATTTTACACTTTGAATATACTATTTTGTTTTCCCTAACCAATACCATCTAAGGATGTATAAAGGACTAACGCAAATATACTTTCAATCCCAACGTCTTCTGGTGTTACCTGAATATCAAGTTGAGAAGTCACTGTCATATCGTTAATCGTATCGCATCGTAGCATTGTATCGTTATATATATCGTAGATCATAACATATACAATTTTATTTCTTCCTTTTTACTGTTTCTTAGCATGTGAACAAGTAATACGTAGTATGCTCTCTAGAGAACCGAGTGAACGTCCAACTACTAAGCGTATAAGTCAGCTTGCATGGTTTACGTCATCAACAGTTTCAAATAGTCTTTACCATGAAAAACATGTTGCAAATGTTATGTCTAATTCACTGGCCACAATGCATTTAAATAATCAACCAAATACTGCACAGACAACACGACAAATCGTACCACCTTGTATTGCTGGGGTTGGTACGAAAAATTCAAATAAATCTACTGAATGTGATTTAGTCCAACCAACGTTTATTCTTAAACATTGTTCTTGTGATTGTACATCACAATTCTCATGGAGCAAAAATGATTTACAAAGTCCTGGACCGAATTTAGCCGCTGAGATGAGAGTGAGCAAATTTCCACATTTCTTGTAATTTACCAGTACTTTATTCTGTATCTGCCAATTGTGTCATACTATTGACAAATGCCACGTTTCTATCTCATTTCGTAGATCTTCATGTGTAACTAGTTAGATACAAGAAAAATACAGTCTAGTGCACCGTTGTTTTGACCCAGTCAATCACGTTGCAAAACACGACAGTAGTAAGAATCGATGCAGGTAGTACCGGGGTTTATGTTTCAGTAGTTAATATCACCCTGGGGTACACACAAAACTGATAGTTTCTGAGTGAGGCGAAATATCCATCCTGGTTTCCCTATTTTATGATGATTATTATTAGAGCACAAACGTGGTATAGCATGGACACTAAGAAATGCACCACACAGAATAATATAACAACATTATGAAGACATAAAGCGAAAGGAAGTGGATAAAAATAAAACATAATAAGAATGCGATTATTAGAAAACCAGTCCAGTAAAATACATTCAAAACAAAACACATTACTTTTCAGCATCAGAAGATAAACGGAAGCTACAGTACGACGGCCACCGGTTTCGATTCTGAGCCATATCTGATAACGTACCAAGCCACTGAGTGTCGTGATCTCTCAGACCACACTCAGAGAGTCATGATACACCAACAGATGCTAACCCGTTGCAACTATCGTTCATACCACGGCGCCACGTCATACACTGACCACCCCTCTGTTTCTTCCATCCAGTCCCAGGGTTAGCAAACAATAAACGGTATGAAAGCCGTTTGGAGTACATGCGTAACACGTATCCAAGCCACCGAGACCGGTGTTTTCAGATGACTTCACTTATTGAATGACGATCTCCATCATGCCGGAACACACGCTATCGTATCTGAGGACTGCTTATATGGTGTGGCCACTGGAAACAAGCAATCCTACGGAGACGACGATGATCGAACACAGAGTCATTGCACATCTTCAGCTCAGAGATGCCAGATTTCACAGGCGTAGAGCAGAACTGCTCATATCGAAGCGTTGTAAACCCGACCTTTTACGGTCAGACTAATGTGGCAACGGCGCTAAAGGTGACCCAGATTGATGTATGCCACTCTGGCTTTCGATATGTCAGTGTCAGTTATAATCAGTCTATGAACCACCAATAATATCGAAGCGTATATACGAGGAGTTAAAATGCAAACACAGGCTAATCAACTCACCAACATATGTCATCAGTAGTAAAACCAGAAATGTCCTGTAATGAGATTAAGACAATTGACAATTTTATCTGTCTAAATTGTGTTGATATCGAGCTATGTTACTTTTTTACCAGTCTATAGTGTAATACTGGAAAAAACTAGTATTTCAAGATAAGTAAATATAGACAGAATATCATGTCAACTGGTACAAATATCATGGAATTCAAAGCTGAAGAACCAGAAGAATAAAATCAAATCCTGTCAAACCTTAAGTCATCCTGTTCTGATAATTCTACTACCATTCTGGACTAATGACTTCTAAACTGTTGAAAGTCTGTCTCCCTTCGCTATATAGTACCGACATCACTTGTTTCGGTGGCAAAGTAGAGGAAAAGATGATCTGTCGGAACTACTTTTACACTTGTAGTTATCATTAATCAATCCTTTTTCTTTTGTAGCCTCATATTCGTTAGTCTTAAAAGTAAGTAGTGCCAATATAAATTGAGGGGATTATTCAGATGCATATTTGGACTATCTTACATAGTCGGATCGTTTCTTCAATTCCATTCTAATGTAATGGTCAGTTTTTGTACAAACATTCAATTAATAATCATTTTGTATTCCATGACATCAGGGTTATGTTAATGTGTATCACATCATAGAATCGGAAAGTGAATTGAAATCCACTCAGAAACCTTGTGCACATCCGCGCAGTAAACAGTGAGCCACATCTACTATGCGAGGGCTAATAATACTACCTGGTTGCCCAAACTTTGGCAGACGGAGCGGAGTTGGAACCTGTGACCCACTGGTTGAAAACCAGCCTCCTGAACCAATGAGCCATAGCTCCAATAGTGTTATGACCATATTAAAGATTCTAATAAATGAGGATGTCTCGTAAAATATCCCTTTTATTGTGTATTTTAACTATATACATAGTCAGTTTTTTTCGTGAACTTCATTGATTGTATAAGTTCGAACCCTGCCCCATCTACCGAGGTCTAGATAGATAAGCAGTGTCGCTAGTCTTCACACAATAGGTGTGTCACAACGCGCAGTGCACAGAACTTCAAATGATTCCTGAGAAAGTTTTTTTGTGAGTACCTCTGTGTTGAATATATTTTTATCATCGATACATGTTATGCTGCAAAGATTTTTATCAGCTGCAGTTAGGCTAACGCCTATTTTCATTATTTGAGTCGATTATCCTAACTTAAGCAACATTAATTATTGTGATTTTATACTAGGTTATACTGATAGTAGGTTTTAAAACACTGGATGCCAGTAGGCATTAAGCCTTAAACGTTTTTATAACTTACTCGTATGTGTGTAATCCTAATAAGACTACGCACAGTCGTTTCGTAAGTTTACATTAGTTTCAATTACTACAGCCTACTTCCCTACTTACTATTCTGGTTGTAAATAAAGGATGGGTTGGAAGGATATACATTATGAGTAATCAATTCTTAGCAAGTTAACTACATATGGAATAAAATCCTCGAAATTGAATGTAGTACACGAACTTTCCTTCTCATACACTGCTTAGTGGACTAGTTGAGTTATGGTAGTTGCAATCTAAGACTTAAATTACCCAACTAGCTTTCTTAATTTATCTACTAGTAATTACTGTATGGATTTATGATTTATGACATACGCGTTCATCATAGGTGGTAAACCATGAAAACATCAGATTCAAGAATACATATATCTGTTTGATACTTGTAACTTCGCGTTACCATAAAAAGTCGAATTACCCGAATTATGTTGGAAAATGGGCTTCTATGCAGATGCCTCGATACTGTCTGATATCCATGATATTTTATTTATCTTGTATTCATCGGAGGTCGAGCATTTCGACCCTGTATAACCACGGGAAATTACAAGTATCAATAAACAACAACTGATACATGTTTCAAAAGAAGTGGCTATCGTGCCTCAGTGGCCTAATGGATAACGCTTCGCCGTTTGAAGCCAATGGGTACTCGGTTCGAGTCTCAGTGGGCGCGACATTACTCACTAGGGTACAGGTATCTCCAGCTGATAAGTCCTAAGTAGGGCGAAATACACGTCCTGGATTCCACTGCTAGTCAACAAGATGAATACAGTACACATGGCTGTAGACCATGTAACACTGAATCAGTTATTCCATGCATTAAAACTCCAATGAGTAAACCAAGTTACCTTCATAAGAAAAATAATCAAAATAGCAAAAATACTACTTTATTCACCTATTTATTATCTTTCATATCTAAATTTAAAAAAATGATATTGTGTATTCACTATTTCGCTTTTCCCATGATCCACAAGTGTATAGTCAGCTTCATATTGCCAAGGTTATGGCCTTAAGTAAAAGTTGTTAGAATACTTCTATTCTAATTTTAGTTTAATTCATCACTGGTATCTTATCAATAATATTTTTCCCTCTTTTCATATACTTTCTGAAGGTTGGTAAGCTAAATGAATTAGTGATTATGATTATGGAGTCTTACGGAATGTGTCGCACACAAATTCTCAAAGTAAGTCACCATATTTGTTTTTGAGGCATATCATTTGTCATTCATCATTCAAAACACAAATTTGACGCATTAAGCTACCAAGATGCACATCGTATAAAGTCTGATGACATATTTTATGCATGTTATCACGATATTAATGCTGAAAAAAAAATGAAACAATTGCATTCAAAAAATAACTCATCACGCTTATGTCTGTGCTTATCCTTAAGTAGTAAACATCGTACGACTTCTATAGCATAGCCGTTATTGCCTTAGATTCTGACACATGGGTGATAAACTCACGGTTAATTAAGAAAATATTTCTGATCATCACGCATAATATCTTTATGAAGCGACAAATGCTGTCTTAACACATATTTCTTTGAGGTAGTATTCATCATGGACTGACGTTAAACTGTCATAGGCTAGCCTCGTCCCTGACTTTTTCGGCCAGTCTTAGCTTCACAAGCAAACTAGACTTGTGTTCAAGGCTCTAACCATGAAAACTGAAACTTGATGAGTAACAGAACTGATAGGAAGCGGCCTAAATCAAAATCAACATTCTAAGTCATCAGCCCCTAGGGTAGAAGTTTGGATTTCAACTTTGATTCTTGTTACTGTATGAGCAAGAAAAACTTTATTGAACAATTTTGTCCTACGGCTGACCAATCAAAGTAAATATCCAACTTCTGACCTATTAGTTTTATATGCTGGGTAGAACTGTGTATATACAGGATACAGGATGTATTTCTGTCAAATAAAGTTGTCATCCTTGCCGACACATACCGGTCTTTGTCTTCTGATTTTCGCGGCTCAGTGAAATATTAGGCGTGAGGAAGAACAGTCACTATTCGTATTCAATCCAGGTATCGCTTTGGGTTAGTAGCATTCTCGTATTTAATATTATTCTGCTTGTTACTTCAAGAACTTTCACAATTTCCAACATAGAAAGCCTATACAGTAAGCGATAAACTATGATCTATGTTGTCGGTAAGGCAAGATTGCAAATAAAGATAAAGATACCATGTGGAATAATTTTGTAGCATTCCGTTTTATTCTGTATCTAATAAAAATTCGAATGTCACTGTCATAGTAGCTGTTTTTTTTTTTGACTTCAATAAAATTGAACGTATAAGTTAAGTTACAAGTTTAAACTTAACACTACACCACCAAACTTTTAGCCTCTCGTTAGTATCATTAGTCTATACGCAATAGGTATGGCTTAATGTTTAGTGCACAAGACTGTAGGGGATTGGTGAGTTACAATATTTATTTTATTGGCATTAAGGTTTTTTTCTGAAATGATTAAGGCATTTAGTCTTGAACGTTGTTGAATTGAACGTAACAGAATGGTTTTGTGTATACAGAAATCGAATGGAATCATCTTTCATTTTATTTAGTAAGATGTTCAATTGATGAAAGGACTGAATATAATTCATATTATTCGGCAGTCGACTCCCCAACCAAGTGGGTTATAGGTTCAAACACCGCTTGACCTACTGGGGTTTGGGTAACCTGGTCATATCATTAATCCTCACACAAAAGTTGCGGTTCATTGTTCATTGCACAGATGTGCACACGATTGCTGAGTGCTTTTATGTATTCAGTGAAATATTTTCACTAAATTGTTTATTGCTTAGTGTATTTTTATAGAGTAAACAAATACTTCGGTCGATTAGAATGTAAGGTGAATATTGAAATGCATATTACTACCAAAATGAAGTGAAATCACAGTTTTTAAACTATCATAATAACATTTTAGTATGAACCACTGGTGTATGTTCCAGTAGTCTAGACAGTACTGTAAACTATGACGTCACATGTTTAGGCCTATATTTGGCCCACACACCAGTACACAAATATGATTGTAAATACTAATTCATATTCTCTGCATGCAAGATATTCATATAGAGGTTATACAATAATATTACATCACATAGGCATTTAATATTAGTATCACTTTTATTATTATATTTTCATTGTTTATTATTATTGCCGTTGTAAGAATACAGTTGTACAGGATAATCTCTAAAACCATTTTTAAAATCCCTGTGCTGTGTTGTATTTTTTGGAATATAAATCTAGACTTGAGTCACAGAGATCGGTTCATCCGATCCGGCATAAATCTCGGGAACTATCAGTATTCATAAGAACACCTGATACCCGTTGCACAAGAGGTAACTCTCGTCACTCAATAGTCTAGTTAATAAGGCTGTGGGTTCGAAGCAATAGAGGCGCTGGGTTTGAATTTCAATGGGAACATTATCACTCACTGAAATGCAGATACATTAAGCTGTTGATTTACAAATATAATGGAAAATGCGTCCTAAATTCCACTGCTATTTACCACCATATCATAGTGAATCTTTGCACAATATTTCGGTATCTGTATGGGAGCCCATATGCCAGCAGAGATCAATCATTTCTACCCTTCACAACAATGGGAAACTGCAAGTATCGATACATAATTAGACTCATTGTTTCGAACTTACCATTCTTACCAGCTTATGCTTAAGATTACGCTTTACAGTTTATAAAATTTAGACATCCTAACTACTTTCGTCATCTCTTGATCAGCTAATCAAAATCATTTGTGATTGTTCGTTCTAGACTTGGCCTTAACTTGACAATATTGGGAACATAAAAATGAAAACGTTCTCAGATGATTGATTCTGTTATATTTTTGTGAGTTCTTCTGTTCCAGTGGAGTTGTCAAAGTCTTCGACATATTTTTTATGCACTCTAACTGAAGTCTGTAATTGTATGCATTCGTGTCTGAAAAGTAATTCTCTAAGGGGCGAGAGGGGAGTATGGTTTGATGCATTCCAAATGCTTAGAAGTCTGAAAGGGATGATTCATATCCCACAGGATATCAAAACTGGGTACCAGTAAACATTCCTGTACTATGAAAAAGAAATCACCCCATGTTTTGTAGTTTTTGGACAGTCTTTCAGCTGGTGACAATTTCTAAAACAGCATCTTCAAAAAGACGGTAGTTTTCATTCGATGTGAATTTCTATTTATTAAGTTGGGTTGTTTGTTCTCGATGAAATTGTACGCAATGTAGCTACTGTGGATATGCAATCCATAAAGCTGACGGGAAACCACTATCATACCAGGCAACGGGATTCATTCTTGCATTCATCTTGGTGACTTGCAGTGGAATACAGGACACGCGTTTCGTTCTATCTAGGACTCGTCAGCTGCGCCCCGGCGAGTGATTTCGTTCCCACTGAGACTCGAACCCAGGATTCACTATTATTTATTTAAATCATTTAAACTCTTATTTGTTTATTTATTTAAGGCACACTTGATACAACATAAACACCAAGAAATATACCATACAATGTTGTGTAACAAGATCAAGCAGATAGAGAGAAGGAAAGAGAAAAGGAAGGAAGCAAAGATATAAATGAGTTTTTAGTTAGACAATCCCGGAGATGCATTTACTACTTTCGTTTTGCTTTTCGATGGGGGGGGGAGATAAGAAGGTTGACAGTTTAAAGCATATCAAACTAGTTGGGATTTATGTAAAATGACAGAAAGTGATTAGATAATCTGTACTAATATGTATGTATGTACGAGTTGGGCGTCCGAGGGCGACATGGAGAGGAGATCATGTGAGGAAGAAATAAAAGCTTGTGGGCAGTCGTAGAGTCAAGTTGAAAAAGCCGCAGAGAACAGAGTGAAATGGCGACGTGCTACTGAAACCCTATATTCCACTAGAAACCCAAGGGACAAATAAAATCATAATAATAATATGTATGTACGTGTTCACCATATTTCATTATATACTCTACCATATTTATGTTGAAATAACCAACGTATTCTATCAATTTCACTACTCTCTAATTCTTGCGAATAAGTTAATCACCTATGTCAGTTATTTTTTTATTGGGATTACGTAGTTATACTGTACATCATTATCACACTTCTAAAAATATTACAACTCGTTTAGTAATTTGATATCTTAACAGATTTTTTGAAATTAGTGTTTTTGCTAGTTTAATAACTGTGGTAATGTAATCAGTATACCTAGTGAAATGTTTTGGTGAGATGATAACACCGCAACCCAATGAAAGCATTGCATTCTGTAATCAACAGTTATTCGAACGTCAAAGGAAGTATGAACTTATTGGTTTGGTTTGCGAAACTACCTACTGGTTTCGGTGAGCTTGCGATCTGGGTTAAAAGGTCACTCAGTCACTGTTCTGAAACATCTTATACCGAAGATTGTTCCTATAACTATTCTGTGAATCAGTCTACTGACTTCGGTGCGCTCCTGTATCCATAGCATTTTATCCATTACTTGACTCAACGTATTGTTTGTCATCATTGGATCGGTTGTGTCGTGAAACCACTACGCCAGTACTTCAGACGCTAGACGTAGATTTAGAAGTTAGTAAATTCCCAATAACACAGGTTTTAAACATCCAGGTCGTAGTTGTTACGAATGTGCTGAAAGAAGTTGGGGGTCGAGTGTGATTGACATATTATACTGGGACATTTTTACACATGTCTAGTGGCTGCCTAATCTGTTTCTCAACTTCAGTTGGAGCGAGTTTATAGTAGTGAAAGATAGTGGCTAGTAGTGGAATCCAGAACATACGTTTCGTTCTATTTGGGACTCATCAGCCTCCCACTGAGCGATGTTGTTCCTAACATGTTAGGATTCGCGTGTTTAGTAAAATTGATTAGAAAGTCTGGGTGATGTACCTCAGAATTTGTATCAGTGGGATGGATACACCAATATTTCACTGTCATCCTAATTCGCATTTTTTTTATTTGTTCTGCCTTCCTGTTCTCCCTAACGACATTTTACGACGTTTGATAACTTTTTTCTGTACCTCTCTACCTTTTCTCTACTTGTATGGATCTTAATGAACTGACTGGAGGTTCGGCAATTTGAACCTTTATGTATAGTGGATTGAGTTCCATGTTGATACTGACTATCTGAATTAATGTATTGTAATTTATTTGTGATAGTCATTTTCATCTTGTCAAACTCTCCATGTAAGAAAATAGTTTATGCATATGGTACACAGCATGCATCCAGGTGTATGTAAGTTTACGTAAGCGAGTTGAACACTGATTTAATTTTTCTGTCGATTCAACGATTCTAATTATTTTTATGGGAAATTACGAGACAGACAGCCAAATGTTTGCAAACAGTTCATCTTTGTAAAATGCACATTTCTTCGTCTTTTCTAATGTGTTTTCTCCCTCTGTGTTGCAGTCACTTCTACGTTGTGCTTATGATCATCTGACAGCGACTTACCTTTTATTGGGTGAAAAACTGCGTTTGCACAATCTTAACATTGATATGTCAAGTACACCTATCACAGACTCTGGGATAATTATGTCTAATTGTGATCATCCAGCAACTTCATGTCAATCAATCACAGATCGTGAACATGAAACTGCACTGCACACACCTCATTTGGATTATATAAATGAGAATTCAGATTCTGTTATGATGTCAAATTCCATCCCATCACCTCAACCATTATCATCTATATCAATACCACCTAGATCTCAAACTGACTATTTAAATATGCCGTCAAATTTGCCTGCAGCTTTTCCATTTTCATCTATTAATCCAATGAATATGGATCTTCCGTTATCCAGTTGCTCATCATCTGCAGAACGATTGGACGAATCAACTAACAATCTCAACTCCTACTTAGACAATGGCTCTGCGGGTAGTAGGTATCACAATGACAATAGCTCACTGTCGATCGACAAAGAAGCGAGTAGTCATTTGCATGCTGACTCATATGGTGTTGATCTATCATCTAATATGTGTAACCCTACTTCTGATCTTATGACAGTAAGTTGTATAATTTCGATATTTATGTCAGTTTTCTAAAAAGGGGTGTATATATATATATATATATATATATATATATATATAGAGAGAGAGAGAGAGAGAGAGAGAGAGAGAGATGAAAAGTACATGGATTCACTTTTTTCTAAGGATAAAATTGTGTTTCATTAACGAGTGATTCCCGGTCTTCAGAGATAATGAAAATAACTGACAGTGATAATAACTAGTTGTCATTCCTTTGTCTCCTGTTGGCCGATAATTCTGCACTGTTCCCACTCATATGGAAGGTATTCTTCTGACTTTACTTGTGGCAAAAGAGGGATTAAAATCGTGTTATAGTATGCAGAAAGATTGGTAAAATCTTCACAAGAAGCCGCATATGCTTGAATCCTTTTTCAACCAATCACTTCGCTTTGAAATTTTGGGAAAAAACACGTGAACCAACGTGTAAGTATCAGGCTGGTTGAAGCGGTAAAAAATCAATACAGTTTAAATCTAGTAGTCTTAGAAATAGCCTAGACCATTATTACATAGGTAAGCCCTTGTAATTTGTATATATCGTTGACGTTGCTGCTGTGAATACACCTGTTCTATTACCGCATTTTCCATAACGGAGGAACTGAGTAGTCGTCTACAGTGGTATCTGGAGGTATTTGTACAGGTTTCCTCACATAAATTAGTCCGCACATATATATAACTCAGGCTATACGAAGTCACTGATGAACATACGCAAAAGTGGTGAATTGCAAAATACGCAGGCCTCGAGCAGATGTCCGATGGGCTCTGTCGTCATACAAATCGTTTTCAGGTACCTTAGAAAGAGATAGCCTTCCACGGTGAGGGCAGCCGGGAAGTGTCAACCGCACTCACAACTCTCTCAGTACTCAAAGTTCCTCAGACTGCTATCCATCTCCCCCCTCATTACCTCCTTATCTTCCTTCACGTCTCCCAATTACCAATACTACATCATCTTTAATTTTTCCTAGTTCTGCAGCCTTTGACAAAGATCTGAGTTCACAAAACAGCATCCTTGGTTTCCTTAAACCACGCTACAAACTACATATTGGAGCCTTCAATGTCCGCACCTTCCGTCAAATTGACCAACAGGCTTCATTGACCAAGACTAGCAACTCGGGGCATGGATGTGTGCTGTGTTTGTGAAACGCATGCGGGACCCAAGTGTAGTTATTTACCTGACCTCTCCCGGCTAATCTAGTGAATCCGCGAAATTTACCGTTCGAGTTTCTGTAGATCCGATAGCTAGCTCTCGCGGTCTCGCAGGTGTAGGGTTAGCATTAAGCACTAGGGCAGAAAACACTACTAGACTGGATCCCAGTTGATAGTCGCCTCTGTGCTATGCGGCTGAACGGCACAGTGAGAACTAAAAGGAATAGGGAGACTCGCCGTTGTCTCTTTGTAATCTCTGCTTATGCACCCACTGACTTCAGCTCGGATGAAGTGAAGGACGAGTTCTACTGAAAACTGTCTAGCTTCCTCTCGAAAGACAAATGTTCGGACGTGGTGGTTATTGCAGGTGATTTCAATGCACAGGTGGGTAGACTGAGTGAGGCAGAAAGACACTTAAATGGCACTTTCGGAGTCCCGGCTGAACGAACAGATAGCGGTGATCGTCTACTACAACTGTGCTCAGATAACCGCCTATTTTTAGCCAGCACAAATTTCAGACACAAGAAAAGACACTATCTGATGTGGCGTCCACCGAGCTCAACCTAGTAATGGAGACAGATAGACCACGTTGCTATTAGTCATCTCTGGAGAGGACCGGTGGAAGACTGCGGCTCCTTGTGGGGTACATGCTTGAATAGAGACCACGCGTTGGTCCGAGCGCGTATATGTCTGCGTCTTAATGGACTTAGGAAACATTTGGCAACAAAGCCACCACGAGTACTGCTGGACAACGAAAAGACCAAAGCCGTGTTCAGTGAGAAGTTGGCTAGGCAGTTATCGGAACAGAAGACTATGACTCATCCAGAAGAAGTTTGGTACCATCTGCAGTCTGCTGTAAAAGCAGCATTGAAGACCGTAGCGGACTCCGAAATAGTGGATAAAAAGAGCCAGTGGATATCAGCAGCTTCTTCCGAACTAATGGATGCACGTGAATACATCCCTGCAGGCCCCGAGTACAATGAAGAGCATTGGGTACAGCTTAAAAGTAGACTGAGAAAAAGTCTACACAACGACCGCGAACCGTGGTGGGCAGCAAAGGCTAAAGAGATGGGAAAGGCAGTGGCGATCGGTAATAGTAGACAGTTATTTAGACTTATTAAGGAAACTGGGGGGAAAGGTCAACTGCGGTTAATGAGACCATAGCGGAGAAGGACGGATCTACGATTCACTTGCAGGGGAGACGACTGGAACGATGGATAGAACACTTGGAAGAGCAGTTTAACTGGCTTCCAGCCACCATTGCGTTGCCCGCTAACCAGTTGGATCCTGAATGGAACATTGAGATAGGCCCTCGAACACTAGCAGAAGTCGAGAAAGCAGTGGGTAACCTGAAACGAGGAAGGACAGCAGGACCAGATGGACTACCTGCTGAGGTATACAAGGATGGTGGTAGAGTGCTCGTAGTCAGGTTAACGGAAATGTTAAGTAGTATATGGGAATCAAATACGACCCCCTGTGACTAGTCTAAGTCACTGATTATGCCAGTCTTCAAGGAGAGAAGTTCTCTTGTGATAACCACAGGGAAATCAGCCTGACGAACATAGTGTCTCAGATTCTAGGTTCTAAACTTCTTCGACGCCTGAGTAGAGCTCAGGAACACCAAGTAGGCTTTGAACCTGGCTGTGGATGTATCGACCAAGTATTCACACTGCTCCAGGTTTTGGAACACAGACACGCTTACCGGCACCCAACAATAGCTGTATTTCTCGACCTGAAGGTGGCATTCGACTCCGTTGATCGAGAAGTTTTATGACAATGTCTCTCACTGAAAGGTGTGCCGACTAAGTACATCACTTTATTGAAGGCTCTTTACTCGAACACTTGCGGGCGTGTTAGAACCTATGGTAAGATGTCAGGTGAGCTGTATTCACCAAGGGTGCCCACTCCCTCCATTCTTATTCAATTTTATCGTAGATATTCTTGTGGAGGTTTCCCTCTAGTCGCCTAATTGGTGGAGAATTTTTGTTAGACCTAGAATATGTAGATGATAAAGTCCTGTTAGGTGAAGACGCTAACAAGATGCAGAGTCTTGTGAATACTGAGTGGCAATTGGAGAATGTTTGGGATGCGTTTCTCACCACCGAAATGCAAATTGTTGCTCCAGGATTGGTCTTCAACGGTGCCCCACCGCGGCTAACAGTAGAGTGTAATGGTTGAGTGTGTTGACCACTTCACTTACCTGGGAAGTAGGATCGGCACTACCCTGGTGGCTCAGTGGCCTATGAAATCTCTGCATGAATACAAAAGGCTCGATTAGCTTTCATGAACTTACGCCACTTGTGGCGCCGCCGCAGTATCCGATTGTCTATTAAGGGTGGCGTATACTGCACAGCAGTCCGGTGTGTTCTACTGAATAGCTATGAAAGATGGCCATTGAAAGTGAAGGACATGAGAAGGCTTCAGGTGTTTGACCACCGTTGTCTTCGTGGTATGGACCGTATTTCGTGGTGTCACCAGCTGAGTAACACAGAAGTCAGGAGTAGAGAAGAGGTAAGTTGGTTGACGAGGTTGTGAACCTTCATCGACTGAGATGGTTGGCTCCGACACGTGTTACGTGTGCCTGGTCGCCGATTGCCTCATCACACAATGTTGGCCGAAGTAGGTTCAGACTGAAAAAAGGCCCTAGGTGGTCAGATCCAAACATGGCACCAGTGTATTAAGTGTTTGACTGTTGGTTTAAGCCGTGTAGGGCGATGTAGACCAGCCCGGTTGGGGTCTACGGGACAAGAGGAACCAGTGGTTGAAGACTCTAGATGATATGGCTAAGAACCAAAGTCAGTGGCGCAGATGTATACATACATTATCTTCATCTTAACGACGCTGTACCGAGTCTCGCCATTTTCTCATTCTTCATTTCTCTCTTTTCCTACTTTATATTCCTCTTTACTGAATTTTTTATCTTTATCTTCCACTTCACTGCCCTTTTACTTGATGTACTGATATGAGGTGTGGCAATGTGGACCGCTACGCAGCAATGCCTGGTTCTATGTTGATTTGGATGTATGGATGAGAAGCAAGCAAGCAAGCTGTATGACCAAATGTATCGAATTTTCAGGGGAAAATTGAAAGTTCATTTGTTATATAAAATCACGTTTGTGAAGTATATTATGATATGCTTCATAGCGGAGATTAGAACTACACAGTCGCTATCTGTTCGAATTCCTCAACCTTCCTATCAGCTGATTTTAATTTTTCAATGATTGCATTTTTTGTCTTTATAAATCAGTTCTCAACTATGAAAGAAGTTTGTTGGTAGTCGTGTATTGTGAATCAGAATCACTTTATATGTGCGTTCTCTTTAGTTCAGTCATCACTCACTTCCCTAACTGAACTTTTCATTCTATATATGATGAAATTATACTGTGAAAGGTTGTTTGCTGATTTATTGTTCTGTTGAAGTAGGATTCTGATTACTCTGTTACTGGTTACTTATTTTATACTTTAGTATTTTGTCTATAGTAAATATAGTAATATTCAAAATATGTATTCCAGCTTTCACAGATTCGCTATTGTTTATTCAAAATTTACTTCAATAGCCTAAAGCCACGTACAATCGTATATCGACTGTAGCTACTATAGTTCTTAACGAAATTATAGCTCTCTTTTACTATATACAATGTTGCAAAGTTCCACATAATGATGCAATACTTTATTTGTCTCTATTGTCTTTCTCTGCTTTCCAGCTACAGTCCAACTTACCTGTAACTGAACCAAGAGTTGTCAATTCAATCGTTGGTAATGGTACTCCTCCTAGTGGTGGAAGACCACAACATCGTGTTTTAGCTAGACGAAAATATGGAATATGTAGTCCACCAGCATGCTTAGAGGAAATTAAACAGGCACTAATCTCACAACAGCAACAGTCTTCTTTATATGACAAAGACAGTACATCAGAAGATGTAGATCTACAGTAATGTGGTAATAACCACCATTACAATTGAAAGGGTCAGGCAATACACACTAATACACCGCAGTGTTCAGTAGAATTTATCTATTACGTGAAATTGAAGAAGGAAAAGTGAGTTTTTCCTGATTATAATTATGTTAGTTCTTTAGAAAAGCAAATAAAAACAAGAAAAGTACCCTTAAAACTATTTTACCATGGTCTTTCGTCGTGTTCATTGTTAAAATATTTTATTATGGTCATTAATGATCTTTTTATTGTTAATACTATCACTATCATCGTTGTTATTATCTTTATGCCGTTTAGATTTGGACTTTTTCATTCTAGAAAAATCATGAGTACACACTTAACACACTAAATTCATTGATGATGTCGGTACGAATGGAGGAATTTTCTTTTTTCTTCCTTTATTTCCCTGTACATCATTCTTTTTAAGGCTTTTGGCCTTGTCACTTTTTTCTTCTTTCAATTACCCCATTTCCTCCTCTCTCTCTCCCGTCCTCTATCTGTCCTTGAATGAGTTCTAAGCATATTGATTTGAGACAATGAACACAATGTGTATTTGTCTAACATTGTTTGTACCGATATCTTGATAAATACTACTTGTCAGAATTCATGTCTTTGTGTGTGTGTCTGTGTGTGTACCCTATGTCTGCATGCTTATTAAACATGATAATCTGACTTCACACATGTACACTCAGTGCTGTAGTGGTAATTTTTCTCTTCATTATGTAGAGTGTACATACGGTATCGTGTGGGCATGTATGTATAATGTGTATGTGTAGGCTTGAAGTGAAATGAAGTGTATTTATGTGATTACCTGTCAGTTTATCGTTCTGCCTTTTGTTCATGCAAAAAAGATGATCATGTCTTAGCTTTCTTCTTGATTTCCTGTTGCCTTCTTTCTGTTTTTATGTTACTGTATTATTTGATGAGTGTGATTTATTTATTTATATCTACTGTGCACATAAACTCTGAGTCTTTTCTTCTCTTTGGTTCTTCATCATAAATTTTAATTCTTTTGCATCGGAATGTACACGTAAGTCAGTGAAAATGAGTGTAATAAGTGTTCATTTACACTGGATGAATATATATTAAGTCTCATTCTTTGTTGTATAGCTCAAAGAAAATAAAGCTACTTGTCATTTGTATGTTGTGTTAAAACTAATTGTATTCTTTGGAATTCTTAGACGTCAGGTTGCGAAAGACGAATGGTCAGTTGTGAAACAATTATTCGCGCATCTTACAAGTACCCATCCATGTACTGTTATCTAATGATTAGATTGGATTCTATAGAGGAGTGATCTGACAAATAAAGAGTATTTTGCTGTATGCTGTTTTGACTTGTTGTATGAATTGGTTGTGCAGAGGTTTTGAATACAAATGTAGTACGTATATGTAGTGATTGTTGGTGACTGGAGTTGATAAATGAGAATGAGGAATAGAGTTGTAAATCTCCGAATAACCAGTCCGTTGTATTGGCTGAGTTAATAATTGTGAAGCAATGCAGGTTTTTTCTCAGTTCCGACTGTAATCGTATGTCTTTTGTACAGGTATTCCGATGGTTCGAGGAAGATGTATGAGTGTGTCATGCTGTAATTCTTACTTTGTTTTAATTTTGGCTGTTTGAGTCCATGTTACTGTTGATAAGATAGTAGGGTAAATGAGTGATGGGCTAAGTGTGAGAATATGAATATATGTGAGTATATGAAATGAGCGAGTAAGTGGTTGTCAGTGTGCGAAGGGGAATTCGCTATCAATATCTGAATTTCAATGAAGTGTATGATGATGTGAAAGTTGTAATTTTGAGGATTGTATGTGGAAGAGTTGGTTTTCGGAATTGGCGTGTAATGATGAAGCTTCAGCGTGTTATGAATGTCATGTTATATTTCATGTGAATGTAAAGATTTGATTTGAGATTGTGAGACATTTGTAGGATACAATCGTTGATTGCTCTTCACTTCACGTTTCTGAATGAAGCTGAAAGATGTTGACATCAGAACTCAACAAACTGTACTTACAAGATGACGAGATGTATATATGTTAATTAGCTGGTGGCATTCAGGAGGAAACTATGTTTAACCTTGGTTTCATGCTTGTTGGCACGCATCGGGACGGCATATCTGCAACCTCAGTGGAACTGATGTTCACTCTCAGACTTTAACCCGTGTCACATAGTATTGTAGTCGGGGACGCTACCATTGAGCTATGGGGTTCGCAAATCATCTCCTGTAGGAGTGCCTGAAATGCATCGATTCGTCACTAGAAAGTAGTGGATTTCATGTTATCTATTCCTGATTAGTGACTGGACCCTATCAATCATTTATGCACGATCCCAGGAAGCGAGGAGAATGACCATTGCGGTGCACGTCTGTGGATATTTATATATCCAGCAGTGCTGAACCGGTTTATTTTTCAGGTGGTTGAATAGGATATTTAATCAGTTTTCACTAGATGACTTTACCGATTTCTCTACATAATCTTAAACGATCTTTTTCCTTACCTTGGTAGATTTTAAATTTCTCTGGCTATTTCTTTTTCAAAAACCTTGTTTCACCTAATCTGCCGAGTATGCACATTTTCCGGTCTACTGAATCAGGGAAAAGGAAGAAAATTTCTTTGTCTGATGACTAGACTTTATAAATCGAAATAAGTCGTGTATATCTTTTTTTTTTAGTTTTTACACAAATCTTAGTTTTTTTTTTTACTCAGTCATATTCTCTTCTTCCTAGCAAGCATTCAATAAGTAATCTCTTAGCGTTTGATTCTATTTTCATTGTTCAAGAGGTGAAAGAAAGACGTTTATTGCACGATGAAATATATTCTGTAGATTTGAATTCACATCAAAGTCAATCAGTTTGGATGGATTATACATATTTTTTTCCACTTTTGATATGAAGATATCCTACAAAAGCTGGTTTGTTCACTCTTCTCTGGATTTGTGCCTACTACGATAGGGTGTTTTTTCCCCAGGTGAACTAATCATTGAATCTTCGTCTTATGAACACATAGGAGAAAACGAGAAGTTCAGCGAAGATATCTTCTTCGGCTATTTCATTCTCTATAGCTATACAACCGCGATTTATACCTTTTTGTTTAACTATAATTGGATATTTACAATGATTTTTTAATTAAGCCTAGTAACAAATATCAACCTCGCCTGTTTAACTAGTCCACTAGTTACTAGCAGCCGGTCCTAGGCCCGGATAAAGAGGGAAGGTTGGGTATAGGGATAGCAAACCTACCCCGTAAAGCCAATCTAATCGCTAAAGAAACTTCAAAGCACAGACAAAATATAAGAAAAAAATAAACTTATTCCTCACTGGAATCGAGGAGACGAAATGGTACTAGTTGGTTAAAATAATCGGGAAGCCAATTGGCCAATGTGTCTTCTCTTCTCTCAATGAAGGCAAAAGTAAACATGGGAACATAGAATGTCCGCACCATGTTTGAAGCTCGCTGACAAGGCTGCCAAGATTGCAAAAAAATGAGTAGGTATGACATGAAAGTACTTGGAATCTGCGAAAGCAGATGCAATGAAAGTGGACTCTCCAAACTGTCAACTGGAGAGAAGTCAATAATCTACTGCGATATTGCCACCCAGACCACAACCACGAGCACACCACACTGAGTTTTCGAGTGGCTATCGTGATGTCCCCAACAGCATCCAAGGCTCTTTCTCATGCAGTGGAAACCAGTCTCCTCCATTATCAGGATCATGACAGCAAGATTTATCTCAAAAGGAAGGAAAGTCACAATCCTACAATGCTACACTATGCACCCACGAATAATGCAGATTAAGAGAAGAAGGAGGAATTCTACAGACAGCTGCAATCAGTACTGGACAAGATCCAACCTCAGTTGGCAACATGGGCGACATGAATGCCAAACCGGGAGCGGACAACACAGGAAGATAACTGACTATGGGTCGAGAAGCGCTCGGTGAGGTGATGAACGAGAATGGAGAACTGTTTGCAGAATTCTGTGCATTTCGTCATTTGGTGATTGGAGGTGAGGCACAAGGATATCCTCTAAGCCACATGGATTTCACCAGACACACTAAAAACTAGATCGACTTCATTTCAATCTCAAGAAAGTGGAAACACAGCCTCCTGGAAACAAGATGAAGAAGGGGAGCACATGTAGCTTCACACCACTCACTTTCTAGTGAGTAAGCACTGAAGACAGACGCAGAGACAACAGCGGAAATGCTCACACCACTATTACAAAAGTTTTGGAAGAAAGGGAAGGTACTTGCCCACTGATTAGACGGAGGGCTATCTTGTCAAACTCCCAAAGAAGGGAGATCTAAATCTTTGCAAGAACTGGCGCGGAATCATGATCCTGTCCAACCCAAGCAAAACACTAAGTCGTATCATCCTGGAGAGACTAAAGGATGTGCTGCATTCAAAATCAGGACACGAACAGGCTGGATACAGGAAGTACAAATCAAGTGCAGATCAAATTGTAACGCTACGCATCATCATCGAACACAACATAGAATGCAAGTCAACTATACCTGTTCATTAGTAGATAACTCACGAAGAGCCTGACTTCTCAAGGATATATTCCTTTTTGGCACTAACAAATGAGGAGGTCGAGAGAAAACGAAACAAAATCAACCAGGATCAAACTAAGTTAAAGTTATGGTCAAGACAAAGATTCTACGTTTTTCAAGCCGTAGATACCCAAGGTCTCTGATGTTTTCAGTTCATGATGGAGAAGACGTGAAACATTTGAGCCAATTCTATACGCATCTTTAAAATCATTGTGTGTCGGCTGAAAATTGGAAGTTAATTAAATATTCAAGAATAGACCCTCTAATTTAAATTCTTTCCCCTTTAGGAAACCAGGCTGAAATACGTCCTTATATACGTGTCGACAATAGTCTCTGCCTGGTGCCGATGTACTGTGCTCCACAAAAACAGGTGAACAGGCAGCTGCAAATGGAGGTGGCCTGTCGAGGGTTATTGTCTTTTAACCAAATACAGGACAGTTTACCGCCAATAAGAATCAAACGAAGTTTGGTGGCAAAATATTTCCTGCTAATTCATCTTGAAAGACCATTTTTCAGATTGCCGGATGCTATATGACTTTTAAATTCCAGATTTATCAAGTCTTTCTAGAAACTCAGTTCGTGACTAGTTTCACGTATCTTTCTCGAATATTTTTATCGGCAAAAAAGGTTGGGAAGGCTACTTCCCGGATATATACTTCTTAAGAAGCAAAGTTTAACTTGCACATGATCTGGGCTACGAATTTCTAGTATTCGATACCAGAGTGAATGAATGAGGTTTCTTTTCCTAATGGTAGGCACCAATATGGTTTTTCTCTAGATAGATCTTCCTAGTGTACTACTGCCACGTCTCATCATTGACACTTCAAGAAAAGAAACAGCTGATTTCAATTCCTCTTTGGTTATTTCGTTTCATTTCTATCAACTTCTCCCTTCTTAGATTAATCTATATACTCTAAGTTTCTGGTTTTACTTCGTTTAATACTACGTGATGATTGGAAGTGAAAATCTGGTCCTCAGCACGATTAGAACCAGCAATCTCTACGTTTTTGGCCCAATGTTCTGCCAGCTGTGCAAACAGATAACTGCAGATCAAATCTTAATTTTACTTCAATCACCAAGTTTTTTCGAGTGTCATATGAGTTTTTGTTGCGTTACTATCCGTTCATCTCCTTCATTTAATCTTCCAAATAATTGAAACTTGGAACAAGATATATTCATCGCATCTCAATTAACTTGTCTCACATTACCTAGTCCACTGTTTGTTGATTAGGTCTATCATGTGTTCACCACCCTCTGAACGATTCAAAGTTCATATACAACCCCTTTTGTTATCATTCAACCTTTACGTCATCGACTAGCAACATTATTATAACTGTAATCATCGTTATTGTTATTACCGTTACCCACTAATAAAATTAAATTTTCCGCAAGGAATACAGTCTTTAAATAACATATATACACGAATGTAAGGCTTGAGTATTTTGTTCCTGATGTTACTGAGATCTTTAATTGACTGACTTTCGGCACCCTCAGGCCCGTTATTCTCTCGAAACAAAATGTTTTTATTTGTAACATGTTTTGATTAGACTGCACAGTAATTTCAACAAAATTACGTGTCTCCTTAGTCCTTACGTAACATGCCTTCTCTGGTCAGAACTTTGTGAAGTCTTAAGCTGTTAACATTTAGCTTGAACAGACAAACTACTCACTCGTTTTGTTAGTAGAGTGATCATTCCAGCAAAATGACTTCATCATCACGTGCAGTTTTCAGCATTACTAAAATACCTTGGAATTTCTTAAAACAATTGATTCCCATCATTACTGCATCGTAGATTGTTCTATAATGAAAAGAATCATATGAACAGCATGTCTGTCTCTTCATCAAGTAGAACATTT